CAGGAGGTTGAGAGCAGCCTAACCAACCTGGTGAAACCCAGTCTCTACTAAAAATACAAAACTTAGCTGGGCATCATGGTGGGTATCTGTAATGCCAGCTACTCAGGAGGCTGAGACAGAAGAATTGGTTAAACCTGGAAGGCAGAGGTTGCAGTGAGCCAAGATTGCGCCATTGCATTCCACCCTGGGTGACAGCAAGGCTCTGTCTCAAAAAAAAAAAATAACAGCCAGGCACCGTGACTCACGCCTATAATCCCAACACTTTGGGAGGCTGAGGAGGGCGGATAACCTGAGGTCTGGAGTTTGAGATCAGACTGGCCGACATGGTGAAACCTCATCTCTACCAAAAATACAAAAATTAGCTGGCTGTGGTGGCAGGCACCTGTAATCCCAGCTACTCAGGAGGCTGAAGCAAGAGAATTGCTTGAATCCAGGAGGCAGAGGTTGCAGTGAGCTGAGGTGGCACCATTGCATTCCAGCCTGGCCAACAAGAGCGAAAATTTGTCTCAAATAAAAAGAAATCCAATTTTAAAGTTATTGGGCTGAGCACAGTGGTACACACTTGTAATCACAACACTTTGGGAGGCCAAGATAGAAGGATCACTGAACGCAGGAGTTTGAGACCAACCTGGGCAACACAGCAAGACCGTACCTCTATTAAAAAGGAAAAAATGTTTTTTAGGAAATGATTATTTTTTGAGCTGGGAGATACCGCTGCGTGTTTGTTGGCTGATGGGAATGATCCAGTCAAGATATGTCATTCCTTTTATCATGCTTGATCCCTGCTGTCCTATTTGGGTGGCTCACTGCATACAGAGAGGACCACATTAGTGCAAAGAGCATGAACTTTATCCACACACTGAGCTGGGTGACACCGCCACTTCCAGTGCCTGGAGTTGTGTGACATCCAGCACGTTAGGGAACCTGTGTGTGTTTCTTCACTCCCAGGATGGTTGAGGCAATTAACTCGGGAATGCTCACAAAGCAACCAGCACAATGCTTAGCCCATGGTAGACATCGATATTACAGAAGACTATACCAACCTAATTCTGGTTTTCCAGAAGTTTCCACATCAAGGCAGATGACCTTTACAGTTTCAACTTATGCTAATCAGATACAGGCAGCAGCCTCTTAATTGAGCTCACAAAAGGCCAGATGTTTTCAAGGCAGCAGGGCCAAGATAAGTGTATGTAATTAGAGTGGGGCAAGTCCTCCTGGAAGCATGGGGTGATGGCAGGCCGGCTGAGATGCAATTGTGATTCGGGTCTATGTTGGGTAACGCATGTGCCAGGGCCTGTAAGCGATGGGAAGACAACTGCTTGAGAAGATAGGAGAGAGTCCATGGGAGGATCAGAGGGAATGAGAGGCAATTCCTCAAACATGGGGAAGATTTGGATGTGGAAGACACTGCTGGTCTCTGGTACCCCAGGCATCTAGCAGAGCTCTCATCAGGGGCATCAAGAGATAGATCCTGTAAAAAGTGTGGTTAGCAGAGGAGAGAAGGCAAATGGGATGACCACATGTGTCACAGAGGCGCCTGGCTGGGGCGAGAGGGTAGAACACTAAAATGTGGCTGCTAGTGCAGCCTCAAGGTGCTCAGGGACCTCGGGAAGGAGATAAACGATGTGCTCAGCACAGCGAATGGAGATATGCCAAGAGTATGATGGGACTGCAGATCAGGATGTTTAGCCGTGCCTGGGCAGGCAGAATCGTCAGGGGTGGCCGCACAGCTGTATTGCTTTCTACTGTGCGCCCTGAGGCAAGTAGTCTCCATTCCAAGCTTATAGTTCTGGGAATCTCAGACTCTTGAGTTGGGAGGGTGATTAGAACTCCAAACTTTCAAATGATGATTTTAGAGAAGGTGCTAGATTGCTAAGGACTGAATCAGACCCTCCTCACTGGCAATGAGAGAGGGCAGTGGAAAGGTCTCCGATTTTTCACAGGGAGGGAGGCAAAAACATTGAATCCTCATACCGAGCAGTCAATGATCAACACATACCTAGCAAGTCCAGCTCTCAGTCAGGCAGTGTTACAGAGGAAGTGGTGGCAGTGGGTTTTCAGCCGAAGGCAGTCTGCCCACTCCTGGGGTACGATGGCTGGAGGGGCAGGCCTGTGCGGGGAGTCTTTTTGGAACAGAGCTTTCATTAGCTGCAGTTCTGCAGGTGTTTTATGCTTGCTTGCTTTTTTTTTTTTTCAGAGTCTCGCTCTGTCACACAAGCTGGAGTGCAGTGGGGTGATCTCAGCTCACTACAACTTCCGCCACCAAGGTTCAAGTGATTCTCCTGCCTCAGCCTCATGAGTAGCTGGGATTACAGGCACACGCCACCACCCTCGGCTAATTTTTTGTATTTGTAGTAGAGATGGGGTTTCACCGTGTTGGTCAGGTTGGTCTCGAACTTCTGACCTCAGGTGATCTACCTGCCCCAGCCTCCCAAAGTGCTGGGATTACAGGCATGAGCCACCATGCCTGGCCATTTTATGCTTTCAGATGGCATTTCTCACCTAACATCTGATCCTTGTAAACTCCCTCATGCATCAGACAGGGCAAGTGTTATTGTCCCTACTTTCCAATGGAGAATCCAGGCCCAAGGAAGCTGAGGACTTGCCTAATGTCATGTAGCTTTTCAATGGCAGAGGTAAAGCTACAACTGTAGGCTTCTTGTAGTGTAAGTGAAAGCACAGTGTAATGTGCCACCCAGCGCAGTTTCAGTGAGCTCTTAATGGAGGCTGGGCTGGGACCCTGAGCCTTCCTGTTCTCCCCGCATGCCTGGGAGTCACTGGACTGCAAGGGGGGCACCAGGAGTGGTAGTTGCCTTGGGTTGAGAAGCTGTGCCAGGTTAGGGAGTGCCACTCCAGAAGTGGAATCTGAATTCCAAAAGGCTTTGGAACAAGAGGGAGGGAAAGCCATCAGGGTAGGAGAGAATATTTTGGTAGAAGACTCAAAGCCTTAAATAACAAAGAGAAGGGATAAACAGAGCTCTTCAGAGGAAGAGGAGAGTACTGTTCTAGATCACAAAGAGGCTCTGGGAATGCCCAGGATGGGCCTCCTGCTGGCTCTGGAGCCCTGTGGACCACAGCTCCCTTCCCCTCTTTGGCTCTCAACTTGTCAATGGAGGGGGCTGCAGCCCGTGGTCTCTGAGGCATGTTTCTGCCTGGCCTCTGGGCTCCTCACCCAGGTCCCCCTGAAACCAGAATGACCCCTGGATCTTCCCTACAGCGAGAGCACCTGCAGATGGCAGGGAAAGGGGCCAAACCCCAGCGTGGAGAGGAGGGCTTCGCCTTTGGAGAAACGTGCTACCCAGCACCAGGCCCCTGCCCTCCGCAGACACTGCTTACCTTAACAGACCACAACTCCATGAAGCGGACCCTCCATTTAGAGTGAGGACCCTGAGGCACCACAGTCACTCAAGTCACCTCAGGAGAGTGTCTTGCGACTGCCTGCCACCCTCCTTCAAACGGGACATGGTGCCGCCCTCAAAAAGGAAGGAGTGTGGGAGAGACCATGGGGGCCAGCACCACACAGATTCAAGTGGGAAGCCCTTCCTGCTGCTTCCTAGCTGTGGACCTGTTACCTCCCTCTGCCTTGGTCTCCTTGCTGTTAGGAGGCCTGTCTGCCTGCGTGCAACCTTGCGTGCTTACGTTAACGCACCGGTCACAGCGTGCCCACTGCGACCCCAGCAGGATGGAGGAGGCTCCCTCAATCCTACTGTCTGGTTGTGGCAGAAGAATTTGAGCTCAGGACTTAGTTGTCTGCCACTGTCGTAGACCCCATTTGCTCTTTGGGACCCACAGATCGTCCAGGAAGCAGGTTTGTGTGTGCCCGGATCCATATGACTCTGACCCTCACAGCACAGAGGGCCTCAGATGTGGGGCACCACAGGCAAGCAGTGCCTACCCTTGACCCTCAGACGGCAGACCACTCCCCCAGCTCTGGCCAGAGCTGCAGGCCATACCAGAGGCCTACGCCCTGGGCGGGCACACAGGGCTGCCATTGTCTGCCCAACGCCTGGCACCCTCTCGTTTGCATAGCCACGTGAAGAATGCGAGGGAGCAGAGGTGGCTGGGGACTTGTCCCTGCAGAGGGGGGTTGAGGCTGTGGGGGAGGAAGCCAGCAGGGGTCTGCAGCAGGACCCTGCTTTCCCCCAATGCAGTCCAGGAAAGGTGGGTGGACTGTTGGGGACGGAGGGGGCAGCCAGAGGCTGACAGGAGTGGGAGCAGGGTTGTGACATTCCTCCTCCCTACACCGCAGTGGGGCCCAATTGAACGTGAGGGGATTGCTAATGAGGTTGAAGAGAGTTAAACATTCCCCTACTCCTGAGGACTGAGAGAGAGAATGGGAGAGAGGAGATGGAGGTGGGGGTGCTAGGAGGGAGCAGCCTGAACCCCAGGAATGTGCAAAGGCCACTGCTCTGAGCCCGGCTGCTCTAGAGCTGGGGGCCAGGGCCCAGTGTTCCAGGTCCCAGCAGGAGCTGCTAAGTCAGCCAGCAAGGGGATTAAGGGGCTGAGCAATCCGCCTTCCTTCAGGCTGATGCCAAAAGGTCGGGGCTGTCTCCCCAGCTCCCCACCGGGCCCCTTGCTGGCTGGCAGCCAGCACCTGCCCAGCTTTGATAGGGCCCCTTTTCTGTCCCACTCAGATCTCAAAAAGACCCACAGTACATATTTCCTGGTCTGGCCTTCCTGATTTTTGGCACACACAGCTCCCAGCTACCCAGGACCCTCTTCCCAACACCCCACCCCTAGTTCCATCTGCCCACATCTAGCTTCAGATCCTCTGCCAAAAAGTTCTCCTTGATGTCTAACTCTAGTTTTACCCGCTGCAAGCTGGCAGCCCTTTCCCTTCTGTTCTAAAGTCAAAGAGAAGAAAACCCCAAGGGTCAGATCAGCCTTGCAAGAGCAAAGTCCATTCTCCCAGGGCTGGCGTTTGGGTGAGGGATTATCTGAATTTTAGGGCACCTGAATCAGGTTCCTAAAGGGGTTTCCCTGGGGGGAAGTCCCTGAAGGCAGCTGGGTCACTCCTCTCAGCCCCTCCCTTCCCTATCCCTGGGGAACTGGGGCGGGGCAGGGACACCACCTGGGCCTTAGGCCGGTCCCCCGCCCCCAGGGGGCTGGGCATGAGCTTTGCTGGGGACCCTGCTCTGGCTTAGGCGGCTGCTGTGGGCGGGCCCTGGCCTTTTCCAGCCCCTGGGCCTCCCCCTGCATTCTGGAGTCCAGAGCCACTGCCTTTGCTCCAGCCGCTGCCACCCCATCACCTCTCCTTCCCTGCCTCTAACCCTCCTTCTCGCCGCTCCCTCTGTCCAGCTGCTCCTCCCACTTGGCCATGACCACAGCCCCTGCTGGGACCCTGGCCCAGCTCTGAGTCCTGGGACCCTTGGTCCCCTCCCCTGGGCCATGGCCAACTCAGGCCTCCAGCTCCTGGGCTACTTCTTGGCCCTGGGTGGCTGGGTGGGCATCATCGCTAGCACTGCCCTGCCACAGTGGAAGCAGTCTTCCTACGCAGGCGACGCCATCATCACCGCCGTGGGCCTCTATGAAGGGCTCTGGATGTCCTGTGCCTCCCAGAGCACCGGGCAGGTGCAGTGCAAGCTCTACGACTCGCTGCTCGCCCTGGACGGTAGGCTTCAGGCCAGTGGGGTGGGAGGTGGGAGGTGGGAACAGCAGGGGGTTCTGGAGCAAGCTTTCCTCACATTCTGTGCTGGGCTCCATCCTCCAGCCCCTGCTCCACAATCCCCCACTACTGCCCCGTGCCCACCCGACAGTCCAGGCCAGCCTGCTGCCCTGTGGGAGGGGAGGGCTCTAGGGTCTGGCAGCTGTGGGTCCGGATCCCTGCTCTGCCACCATAACCTTGAACCAGTCACCAACCTTCTTGGCATTGTGATGTTCTCATCTCTCAAGGGGAATACTAATACCTGTGGCACTCTGAAAAGCTCAGTTAAGACCCTTCATCCACCTTCCCCCGTACTCAGTAGACAGACACGCACTGCGTGCACTCCCCAGTCCTGCCACCCAGGGTAGTATGCCAGCATATGAGTGCACACACGCATGCAAACACACACACATTCACATGCCTGCACACACACGCACATGCACAGACAGGTGTGTCTGCAGGCCGTCCCCCTCCTTCTGGGGTGTGGGGACTGCTACAGCTCTAACTCTGGGGTGGAGGTAGCCCACCTACAATCTGCCTAGGATGCCCCTAGGGGCAATCTACTCCCCATGGCCATCAATCAGCCCCATTGTGCTGGTTCAGGCAGGTCATCATCTAGCCTTGCTGAGGGACCCAGGTCTCCTAAGCGCCCCCCCAGGACCCAGGACTGACCCATGCACCCATGGAGAGACAAGCTTCCAGCTGCCATGGACAGAGGGGAAGGTGACTGTTGTCTGAATGGCTGCTGGGGAGGAGTTGCTGCAGGGCTCAGGCTGGGTTGAGTTGGGCCCCAGATACCCTCAGCTCTTCTTTCTGGGGGCCCCTGGAGGAGCTGCCTTCCACTGCTTAGGAGGGTGGGCCAAGCCCAAAAGGGAGTCCCCAGGCCAGAAAGCAGCAGCAGAATCAAACTACCAGAAAAGTCTGCAAGGGCAAGTGGAGATCGGTGTTGACAGTGAAGGGGACTCTCACCCCCATGCCCTGTCCTCACGCCCGGGCTGTCGCTCCGCACTATCCCACACCTGCCAGCAGGTGGTCTGACCCCCAGGCCAGCTCCCTCTCAAGCTGGGCTCCTTCCAGGCACCGACCCAACCCCCATCCCCACCAGCCCCGCTCAGTGCCACCCTGCCTGCCCTAGGTCACATCCAGTCAGCGCGGGCCCTGATGGTAGTGGCCGTGCTCCTGGGCTTCGTGGCCATGGTCCTCAGTGTGGTTGGCATGAAGTGCACACGGGTGGGAGACAGCAACCCCATCGCCAAGGGCCGTGTCGCCATCTCCGGGGGTGCTCTCTTCATCCTGGCAGGTGAGTGCCCCTCCCTCCTCCACAATCACAGCCATGGCAGGCAGCCCCAGCACCAGTAGCCTCAGGGTGGGGGAGATGCAGAGCAGAGCTGAGTGGCCCTCTGCTTTGTCCTTAGGCCTCTGCACTTTGACTGCCGTCTCATGGTATGCCACCCTGGTGACCCAGGAGTTCTTCAACCCAAGCACACCTGTCAATGCCAGGTGGGTGTCAGGGCTTGGGTCTCTTGCTTCACCTCCTCCGGGGCCACTGAGCTTTATCACCTGGAGGAGGAAGTGGGGGACGGGATCCAACTGCCGTCCAAAAAGCTCTAAAGAGGGGAGCCAGGTGGAGTGTGGCGAGGCCCTCCACAGGGGCAGGAGGCCTGTGGCAGGCTCCCAGGTGCAGCAAGGACTCTCTAAGGACCTAAGTCTCCTGGCTCTGCGTTTCAATCCCAGCTTTGGATGGGTGCAGTGGCTCACCCCTCTAATCCCAGCACTTTGGGAGGCTGAAGCAAGCAGATTACCTGAGATCAGGAATTCGAGACCACCCTGGCCAACATGGTAAAACCCCATCTCTACTAAAAATTCAAAAATTAGCTGGGGTTGGTGATGGGCGCCTGTAGTCCCAGCTACTTGGAGAGGCTGAGGCAGGAGAATAGCTTGAACCTGGGAGGCAGGCATTGCAGTGAGCCAAGATCGCACCACTGCACTGGAGTCTGGGTGACAGAGTGAGACTCCATCTCAAAAAAATCAATCAATCAATCCCAGCTCTGCGTGCACTGCGTCACCTGGGCAAGTTACTCAATCCTTCTGTGCCTAGTTTCCTCCTCTGTAAAATGGAGCTAGAACCTGAGCACCAGCTCACACATGGCCAGCCCCCCGCCCAGGGGCCCCCTTGCCCAGCATCCAGCCAGCCTCACAGCACCCAAGGCAGGGCCAGTAGGGCACAGGATATCCCCAGAGCTCAGTCTGGTGCTCTGAGCAGCTTGTCCTCAACACAAGCATCCAGCAAGATGCAGGTGAGGGTGTGGCACAGTGCCTTGGCCCTGGACAGTGCCTAGCAAGCCTGAGCTGTTTTTATTTCTGCTGGTGGCAGCAGAGCTGAGATGACTTCCTGCAAGAGGCAGCAGTTACTCTGGGCCAGGAAGAAACCCGAGAATAAGGGCAGATCGTAGACGTCCTTGCAGCCATAGCAAGATTTTGTTCCTCATCCATGCCGAGGCAGTGGCAGTCCCTCTGGCTGTGATGTGCAGAATGGTGGGGTGGGGGTGACACCAGGAAGGCGGCTGTCCCGAAGGTTTGAGCAGAGGGTTTGGGGCACCAGGGAGGGAGCAGTGGAAAGCAGACTGCTATTCAGGAGCTAGATGACCAGGACTTGTAAGGCTGTGAGCACAGGAGTTGAAAAGGAGGCTCTGCAAAAGGCCTGGGCTCATCCTGGCTCCTCCCTCACCCTCAGCCCAGCCAGAAGCAGAGAATGGAACAGTCTCAAACTCAGATGTCCCAGTGGGCTTTGGGCCCTGGGGTGGAGAAAGGATGAGAAAAGATGCCTGGGCTATTGCAATTGCGAGGGATCCCTGGAGGAGGAACATGTATGGAGAGGGGAGGGAAAAGAGGAGATCTCAGGTACAAAGTTTGTTCCCTGGGCGGGCAGGTACAGCCATATCGTCCGCCAGGCAAGGTCCAGCTCAGGCATGTCAGGATAGGACTCAGCCCCCGATCCCTTCAACAGTCCCCAAGCCCACTCGGGGACTGCCAGGCCCTGTGCTGGGTCCTGGGGACACTGATGAATCCCATGCTCTGTCTGTCCTCAGGGGGCTTCCCAGGGCAAGGGGCTGAGGCCTCCTGGAGAAAGTGTGGCAGTGGGATGTCAATACAGAGAGGATGTCAAGGAAAGCCCCCTGGGCTCTGAAGGCAGAGAAGGAGCTGGGAAGGCACAGGGAGTGGCAGGCTTAGTGCCCAGCAGAGTGTGCCGTGTGCAACGACACCGAGGCAGTGAGACCCGGAGCTGGACTGGCCAGCAGGGCCTGGGTGTGGAGAGCCCAGAGGGCCAGGTGGAGGGGTGTGGGCTTCTCCCAAGGGCAGCGGGAGCCCTCCTGGCTGGGATTTCGGGGGCCAGACTGTAACTGTGAAAAAAGATGGCAGGGACTGCTCTGTTCCTCCAGGACAGGCCTCTCAGGCCCTCCCATGCCCCCTCCACTGGCGGGATCAGGAAATGAGCCCAGGCTGCTCAGAGCTCCAGCATGAGGCCAAGCCTCCAGCCTTCATGCCCAGCTTGGTCTTGGCTCACCCAGTGTGGGGTTGATATTCTGGGCTGGGGGGAGGGAGAAAGGAAGCACATTCACCCCAGTTTATCTGGAGAGATGGAGGAGGTTGTGAGGCCCCAGCCTCCAGCTCCACACACCCTGCCCTTCCTTTGCCAGGGCAGGGTCTGGGGACACCCTGAGACGGCAGCCACACCTGATGCCATTCTCCTTACCCCTTGCAGGTATGAATTTGGTCCAGCCCTGTTTGTGGGCTGGGCCTCAGCTGGCCTGGCCGTGCTGGGGGGCTCCTTTCTCTGCTGCACATGCCCGAAGCCAGAGAGACCCAACAGCAGCCCACAGCCCTACCGGCCCGGACCCTCCACTGCTGCCCGAGAGTACGTCTGAGCTCCGCCTGCCCTGGCCAGCCCCCCGCCCAGTGGCCCCCTCGCCCAGCCTCCAGCCAGCCTTGCAGCACACAGGGCAGGGCCAGTAGAGCACAGGATGTCCCCAGAGCTCAGTCTGGTGCTCTGAGCAGCTTGTCAACACAAGCACCTACCCTACAATCTGATACCAAGAACCTCAGAGAAAGGCCAGAGGCAGGACCCAGCCTCCAGGCACACACACAGAGATGCAGGTCCAGGCATGGTGCTGTCTGCACAGCCTCGTGGGCACCAGCATGTGTCCCTGGGGACAGGCCCTCAGGCACCAGCCCAGCTGCTGCCTTTTCACCTGCTCCTTCGTTTACACACTGAAGAGCCGCGTGGATGTCTGCTCTGTGCTAGGCCCTGGAGATACAGCAGTGGCCAAGACATCCTTAGTACCCAGGTCCTTGGGGTGAGCAGAACCCTTCATCCCAATCCCAAGGGTTCCTCACTGCAACCCCATAGGGCAGTGCCGGGATGCTGAAAGTTCACACAGGTACAGGGAGGGTCTGAGTTCAGGTCTCAGGTTCTTCCAGTGTGCCCAGCACCAGGAGCCACTCACACAGATGGCTAGGTGGGACCACAGCACCCCCACCCCTGGGAATGGGTCCTAGGCAGGGTTGCTGTGAGGCCCAAGGTCTGGTGGTGCTGGCCAGTCCCCATGTCCAGGCCTGAATGCACAGCCCCTGCCCCCACCCCCACAGCTATCCACTAACCAGCTCTCTCTTTTTTGACTTTCAGACCAGTTGTTAAATTGCCCGCCTCTGCCAAGGGCCCCCTGGGTGTGTAATGTCCAGTCCCCAACCAGGCTCTATCCTCTGCCATACCCAGACTGTGTGTTTCATATTTTTTGGAAAGAGAAGTGAACATCCAGCCCCAATCATGGTGTCATTTGGTCTGTCCTCGGCATGGCTTGGGCGGATCCTAGGTCAGAGTGGTCAGTGCTGACCCCTGGAGCTCTTGGGCAGAAAGATGAGGAGACAGCAGATCAGGATGGGTTCCATAGCATATCCAAGGCTGAGCAGGAAATAATTCAGGGCTCCTACCCCTTTCCTAGGGACCCCACTCCCAAGCCTGGCCTTGGGCATGGCACAAGGTACTCCTTGATGGGAGACCCCACCCACCCTGGAGGCTGCCCTTGAGGCTGGCCCAGCTCTGGGAAAAGGCCCCAGGGTCGGGGAGCCCCTGATGTGTACATAGGCCCCAAGGTAAGAAACCCTGCCCGTTACCTGGTCCACCCCTGAGAGCCCTCCTAAGGGAAGGGACAATTCCTAGAAGACTCTCCAGTTGGATGCTGAGGATCAGAGGTAGGTGAGGGGACACAGTGTAGGAGCCCCCCACAGAGAAGAGGGAATGAGGGGCAGACATTAGGATCTTGCAGGCATTAGGACTGTCCTGAGCAAGCTCTGCAGCCCCCAGCTCTGCTCACCGCAGTCCTGCCCCTTGTTTCCACACCTACCACTCCTCCTCTCCAGCTCAGCAAAGGGCCAAGATCTTGGCCCTAAAACCAGGGTGGGGAGGGGAGACTGTGGCTGGAGCTGTGTGCTGTGTGCACCTAGCAGTGCAGTCAAAGCTGGAAGGGCTTTTGGTCTTGAAGTCCAGGTGCCATCCCTGCTTAGTATAGAGGGGGAAGGGCCTGAGAGGAATGTAGGGAAACCAGCCCCAATCAATCCCAAGGCCAGAGTCCTTTGGCCAATACCTCCCGGAACCAGAGTGTGCCAGGCCCGCCTCTCATGCTCAGGCCTCTCCCACCCCAAACCCTCTTCTGGGACTCTAAGTCTCCCTGGCCACTGCATGGCAGGCTTCTGGTGAGAGAGAGCATCCGTCACTGAGCCTCCCTTTCCCTGCCAGGCACCTTGCTCGGCCAGCTTCATTCTGGCCTCCTCCACCACCTGTCTTGTGACCACATCTCCCAATAACTCCCCAGATCTCAAGGATGCAGCTCAACTTCTCCTTCGAGTTTATCTCTGAGAGGGAAAGTGATGGAAACTAAGTCAGCTGAGATGACTGCCATGTACACTGCAGCTGAGGGCGGGGGTGGGAAGAGTGACACATATGGCAGGGAGCTGCTGGGGGACTGACCCCTTGGTGTTTGGCCTGGCCGGTGCACACACTCATCGGGGCACCACAGGGGCTTGTCCAGCCTATGGTTGGAGGGTGTGGCCACCTGGCCTAAATAGGTTCCCCAGAGTCCTGCCCCTCTAATCATGAATGAGAACAGCAAGAGTTTCTCCTCTGGGTGGCTGAAGCTATAGCGTAGTGGCTCCCAATCCTGTGTGCACGTCTGAGTCACTGGGGGGCACAAGCCCAGGCTTCAACCCCAGACATCTGACTTCATTGGTCCGGGTGGACCTGGGCATCTGAGGTCATGTAGCTTCTCAGGGGACTGCAGTGTGTGGTCAGCACTGAGGGCACCTCTATGAGGCCTCCAGCCCAGGCGACTCTGTGGGGTCTGCAGAGAGAGAAAGAAACCCACAAGAAAAGAGGTGGAGGCAGGACGCAGTGAGATCACACCTGTAATCCCAGTACTTTGGGAGGCCAAGGCGGGTGGATCACCTGAAGTCAGGAATTTGAGACCAGCCTGGCCAACATGGTGCAATCCTGTCTCTATTAAAAGTACAAGGCTGGGCGCAGTTGCTCATGCCGGTAATCCCAGCACTTTGGGAGGCTGGATTACAAGGTCAGGAGTTCGAGACCAGCTTGGCCAATATGGTGAAACCCTGTCTGTCTCTAGTAAAAGCATAAAAATTAGCCAGGCATGGTTACAGGCATGGTTACAGGTGGGCACCTGTAAACCCAGCTACTCAGTAGGCTAATGCAGGAGAATCGCCTGTACCCGGGAGGCAGAGGTTGCAGTGAGCCAAGATCCCACCACTGCACTCCAGCCGGGGTGACAGAGTAAGACTCTGTCTCAAAAAAAAGAAAAGAAAAGAGGTGGGGAGAGGAAAGACTAGGGAGGAAGACCCAGCTTACTCCGGCCTTTCCCGATACCAGGCTGTTCTGTGTCATGCCCACATCTTTCCAATCAATCCCCCTTTTTGCTGAGAAAATGTTGAGTTTGAATCCTGTCCCACACAGCCAGAAGAGCCCTGTCTAACAGGATTTGAAACCTGGAATCCTGTTACATGGTGCCAGTTGAGCAGGGGTGGGATCATTCTCCTATTCTAGGCTGGGTGTTTGGCATTCCTTGCTATTTGGTCATGAAGCAGCTGGCCAGGAAACCACACAATATCCTCTCTCGAGCTTCAGGGTCCAATGGAGAATGTTGGGATAGAATGTGCTGGCTACTTCTCGTGGGTTTCAGGGACAGGCTGCAAGAGAGACAAGATACATGCAAGAAGAGGGGGCGGGCTGGAGGGGGTGTCAATGGCAGAGTGGGAACGAGCTTCACTCTCTTCCTTTGTTAGGTGAAGCCCTTTCTGCCTATAGCCGGGGATTGGAGAGGCAGAGTCAGAGAACCACACATCTTGCTGGAGTGCACAACCAGTTAATAGACTGATTTAAAATGTAGCGAGATCAGCCAGGCCAGGTGGCTCACACCAGTAATCCCAACACTTTGGTAGGCTGAGGAGGGTGGATCACCTGAGGTCAGGAGTTTGAGACCAGCCTGACCAACATGGAGAAACCCTGTCTCGACCAAAAATACAAAGTTAGCCAGCTGTGGTGGTTCATGCCTGTAATCCTAGCTACAAAGGAGGCTGAGGCAGGAGAATTGCTTGAACCTGAGAGGCGGAGGTTACGGTGAGCCAGGATGGTGCCATTGCACTCCATCCTGGGTAACAAGAGTGAAACTCTGTCTCAAAAAATAAAATAAAATAAAATGTAGTGATATCCTGGCAATGGGAAGATATCTGGAAAAAACTAGAGGAATTTGAAGCTAAATTTTTGTCCTGGCCACACCCTCCGACCAGAGGCTGGACAAACCCCTTCAGCACCCCGATGGGTTTGGCACCAGCCAGGCCAGGCACCCAGGGCTCATTCTCCCAGCAGCTCCCTGCCGTTTGTGTCACTCCTCCCACCCCCACTCTCAGCTGCAGGGTACATGGCAGTCATCTCATCTGGCTTGGTTTCCATCACTTTCCCTCTCAGAGACTTTGAGATGCCTGGTCCCAAAGGTTTCTCCTGAAACAAACCCATGCCCCATCTTCATCAAGGCCAACTGGGCTGCCAACCGGAGGCAGGGCTGATATTCTGGGCTTCATGTTGAGGCTGTTGTTTACTGTTCTGGCCTTAAGGCTAAAGGATTGAGAAGAGGTAGGGCTCTACCAGGAAGGTAGGGCTCAGACTCGGTGTGATTCTAAGCTTTTGCCTTATTCTAAAGCACTGTATATTAGTAAACAGAGACACCCTCCCCTTAGACGCAAATTGGCAGGCCATAAAATATGATTGTAGGAGGAGTACACCCATGTACTCAGCCCCTAAGGAAAGCCCCAGGCCCAAGAACAGCAACAGAAGGTGTTCAGCAAACAGGAGTGAACTTGAGCCCCTGGAGGAGCTGACCAGGAAAATCAGCTATCGCTTGGGAAGAGGCTCAAAAACGGTGCAGCTGAGAATACAGCGTATGGACTGACTATGAGATAACCAAGGAGTTATTGTTAATATGTGTTATAAGTATTGTTAGTTTTGTGTGATAATGATACTGGGTTTTTTTCTTATTATTATTCTTATCTGGTAGTGGCACAAGCTGAAATAATATAATGGTTGGATTTGCTTTCAAATAACAAAGAAAAAGTTCAGAGGCAGTGAAAGTGATACAATAAGACTGGTAAATCCCAGTGGTACTTAGGGGCTCTCCTTGTGTATATTTGTAAAATAAAAATAATAAAACGTTTAAAAACACCTCTAAGGTTTGCTGGTTGTATCATATAATACACTCCTCCTGAGCAGGGGAGTAAGGAGGATGGACACTGCAGAGACTTGCTACTCAAAGCACAGCCCTCAGATGGCAGCAGCCACACATCATCTGAAAACGTCAGGAATGCAGCTTCGCAGGCCCCGCCACTGCCCCTGTGACTCAGACGTGGCAATTTTAACAAGATCTCCAGGTGATTCATACACACAGTGAAGTTTGAGAAACACTGATGAAGCTAGTGACAGCTGTGTGGTGCTTCTTTTCGAGGTGAGAATTTCAATTGACCTTACCCTGTTTTCCTCCGTCCTTTGTATATTAGGTATATTGAAAGTGATTCACTCTATGATTTTTGTCTAGAGCTGGCAACTTATGAGGAGCTACAACTAAACATGATCCAGGCTGGACATAGTGGCTCACACCTGTAATCTCAGCACTTTGGGAGGGAGGCCTCCAAGGCAGAAGGATTGCTTGAGACCAGAAGTTTGAGACTAGCCTGGGCAACAGAATGAGACCCTGTTTCAATTATTTTAAATTTAAAAACATTTATTTAAAAAACAAAAATCAGCCAGGGATGGTGGCGTACGCCTGTAATCCCAGAACTCTGGGAGGTTGAGGTGGGCAGATCACCTGAGGTTCCAGACCAGCCTGGCCCACATGATAAAACTCTGTCTCTACTAAAAATACAAAAATTAGCTGGGCATAGTGGTACAGGCCTGTAATCCCAGCTACTCAGGAGGCTGAGGAAGGAGAATTGATTGAACCCAGGAAGGCGGAGGTTGCAGTGAGCTGAGATTGCACCACTGCACTCCGGTCTGGGCAACAAGAGCGAAAATCTGTCTCAAAAAAAAAAAAAAAAAAAGATCCTGGCAAGATTTCCAATGAAGACAGGAAACACCCAAAGTAGTACTTTTCAATTTTCCATTTTTTTCTTCTTATCAAACACATAAAAATACATTTTGTTTAACTTATGAGAATACTACAGGCAATTTCATTCTGGCCAACCCTCCAGTTGAAAACAGCTAAAAATG